ATATCGAGATGGCATCTGAACTGATCTACAGTCTGGCATAATACTGCCTCAGTGGGGAGACTATTCCATAGGTCGACTACTCGGTGACTAAAAAAGTATTTGCGGACGTCTAATCTGGCTCTCTGTTTGTATAACTTGAACGGGTGGCCCTTTGGTTTGGAGTAGATTGAGAACGTAAAGAAGGTTAGTGATTCCAATTGTGTTTTCAACAAATTCCACATTGGACAGAGCGAGGTTTCTACTCCACAATGTACATACACGTATACTGTTGCTAAGACGATATTACATTAGGTCGCTACACTTGCTTCTTTATAAATATTAATATATCACCGACCCAATGTTTCCCCTGGCCAAAAAGATCAGCGAGGAGGTAAAAAAATTTTTGTTAGTTGCACAATCCGAGAAGCGAGCAATGCGAGCACCGATCGCGATGCTAGGGGGGCATGCTCCCCCGGGAAAAAAAGGTGTAATTTGGTGCATTCTAAGCTATTCTGAACACATTATATGAGACTCTTGAATCACTTTTTCAAGTTGTCAAAAAAAAAAAACAAGCTCCTGGGAAAGGTTTTACGTTCGTTTTCTCCTCCCCAGTCCTCGGTACCCCCATGCATAGATCAATGCTGCCCAATATCCGCAAAGTTACAAGTGCCTAGAATCTTGAAGTATATATACAGTTTACATTGCTTCTAGATATCCTTCAGAACCCCTGCGACATATAAACTTATTGTTATGCGGTCATAAAAACACTGCCCAGCTACGCTACATGCTGCCGCAATCGATTTTTTAGACTGGCACGAGGTTTTGTTTGTGTGGCGAATCATGCGTTGAGGGAGTTCATGCCCTCAGCTCTAGATGTTTTGGATACCCCGTCTACGTTCAGGAACGGATGTATTAGAATGCGCTCCCCTTTACAATTCTGTCTAAACTGCCGTTGCAATAACCCGTTGCGATATTAACCGTAGTATTTCAGCGTAATACGAGGGGAAAAAGTGCCGGTCAGGAGGACCGGCAGTTCCGTAGAGATGGTGGCCGAAGCAAAAACTTGGTGGCCTCGGGCCTCCGGGTCGGCACTAATTTCGACCGCTGTCATTGTCAATAGTGTAGTTTATTCAATTTATTGATGGAAGAACAGTGATTTTCGTCAGCGAGGCGATGTTTTTTGGATAAATTTCTGCGTGGCGGCTGAGATTTGAGCGAGGCGGCCGCCTCGCTCGTGTCAATGCAGGGGAAACACTAGATACAATAATGTAACCCAAACCCAAGAGGATAGGTCCCCCAAGGATATCCTCTTGGGTTTGGGTTACA